GGAGAATAATGAAAAGAATGCAAACAGTGGTTTTATTAACTAATGGTGTCATGGTGTTTCCATGACACCATTGGGGTTTTGCTGCCATGACCTCAAATATCTCTCCACTGTCAACTATCTGATAAAATCAAAATGTTCCCCAAATAAATCTTTAAAAAACAGCATCACCAAGATGACCAAATTAAATCTTATTAATCACTGAATGTAAAGCTGTGAATGAAAACCGCCACTTTGCTCCTGTTATGTCACTACTACTGCAGATGAGGCCACTCAAATGGAGAGTTCACCAACACTGACCCTCCGAAATTCATCTTTTGAAAGTGTGTCTTTTCAGAACGGCTGCAACACTATAAGACACAATGTCATCATAAGCAATGAATCAAAACAAATGTGATTTCCTTTGTTTGTATTTTTGTATAATGCTGCTCAGTTATAGTTGAAATATTAGCAAAAGACAAAGAGTCCACAGCCACGTTAGCAGCGCTGTAAGGCTGTACTTTGGCACAGCAGTGCTTGGAGCTAAATGCTAACATCAATGCTGATATTCACAATATTAACATGCTGAGGTATAATGTCTTCCAAGTTCACCAGTTTAGTTTAAAATGTTAGCATGCTAACATTTGCTAATTAGCACCAAACACAAAGTGCGGCTGAGGCTGATGGTTTTATGACCAGATATTTGGAAAGTATAGGACAAACTAAAATGTTTGACCTGATGATGGCGGTACAGGAAAAGTCATGCGATCACCAAGTCAGTAGGGCAAGTTGGGGAACCATTTTGTGTGTTTCAAACTTTGTCCATTTAGAAGATATTTCACTAGACAAATAACACCTTTGACCTGGTGGTGGCGTAAGAGAAAAAGTTAGATAATCACTCCTTCTCCAGGGACAAAACTTCATGGCAACCCATCCGATAGTTGTCCAAAGTGGTGGAACGACCGACCGGCAGATTGACATTACCTTCACTTTATATATACTGTATATAGAAACATTTGATATATCTTGACATCTACAAGATGGACAAATTTGGAAGTGTTTATACATGTGTGTATAAACTACTGTGCCCTCTGCTGATAAACATAAAGTGCCTGAGTGTCCCTGAGACTGAATTAAAATCAGCGTGACTCCAGCAGAGCGTATGAATCCCTTAAAGTCTCATCCAAGCACATTCCAATAGAACAGTATAAAGTCTGTGATATGTGCCTGCATACTTTGTCTGTGTGTGTGTCCTTATGTATTATAAGGCTCCATTGATGTGATGCGGTCTCGTCTGGGACCATCAGGTTTGCTTTTCACAGTGTGTTGTGTGGAACTGAAAGCTCGTCAGGTTGCATTTCTCTGGGATATGAAGTGCAGTCAAAGTTCTCACATGGGGCTGCGCACCTCACCGCAGGTTAACGGCAACAAATCCATCAGCACTGCTTCAAAACAAGCAAAGAAAACCTTTAAACTGCTACATCTGGAATAGGAAAAGCTGACACTGGTTTCTTGTTCATGATGTTTTATTCAGCTTGATGTGGGTGCACATTTAGTGGAGAAAGTCACTTTGACTTTTTATACTTGTTACAGTAGTTTTACGTCATGGACTTTAAAGTAGCACTAATCAATATGTTTAATGTAATTAATGTATGTAAATGTAATTATCAGCTGCCTCTACAGTTCCCCTCTACAGAGCGTTTGTCTCCCATCTTTCAGCCCCATGTTTGGTTTTAGCAGCTGTTTGTTAACATGTTCACCATTTTAACTTTATAACGAGATAATATGTTACCTTTGCTGCTCCGTGTCTGCTCAACGTGCAAATAAGCAACTGTTTGCTAACAAGTTCGCCATGTCAACTTAAAAGATGATCATATGATAGTGTTGTGTTTACAGCTTGTTCTGCTGGACCAGTGGCCAAAATCAATTAATGCCGCTTTTAGGAATCTGTTGCAGTGTGATTTGTACCAAATTTATCATCCATTTCTGTTTTAAAATAAAATGTTAGACTGTTTCTTATTTTTTGGTCATGTAGATCAAGTACATTAAATGGTGTGGGATATTTAAATTTAGCTTTAGCAATATGTAGTTAGCCTGGCAAAACTGTGGACAGACACGATCCATGAAATTGTATATTTTATTTTTACAATGCCTAATTTTGATTGTGAGTTTTGGAGATGCAGAAGAAAGAAGCTAAATGATGCAATATGTTTCTTTCTGGTCTTAATTAATGCTTGGTAAGATGCTTTCCAGACTTCCTTTGAAAATCGAATGGAAAACTTGGCTCACAGGATACAGGCGTCTAGTTTGGCAGTAGCGTTTAACATTATCAGCAGAATGCACAGTGGGGGGTATTGGTAAAGCCATCAAAAACAGGTAACAAGGTGTAGCAAATTACATTCAATAAGCTGCGCGTGTTGTCCGTTTACGAGTTATACACCTCAGCTTCTGATATCACAAACAGAGCATCATGAAATGGACATACAGTAAATTAAAAGACTCTTCTGTCCCAACATGATCAGTTAAGTCACTAATAACTATACCAGCTGCTAAAACTGTTTCATGTATGACAGGGCGCAGATAACATTAGGCTTTTAAAAACAATTCCTGGATAATGTTACGCCCATAACTTAGTCTACTGCTAGGTTTTACTCTCACATATGTAATATATGTGTCCTTAAAGAGAATTAATATTGATTAGAACCTGCTGGACAGATGTTTACTAAGAAATTTGACTAGCTATTGTGTGTGTTTTTATGTTGACGTTTTATCTGTCTGCAAACAAAAAGAAAGTGGATTCAATCTTAATATAACACTTAAGTGTTTTGTTTTGCCATATTATCATAATATAATCATACACATGATGAATAGGGGTTTTGTAAGACTTTTGAAGGACAATGAGACATGTTACCTGAGAAGGATAAACAACAAACCACAGAACAGCAAAATCTGCGTTTTCCTGATATTGGTACTGATTGTTCTGACTCGTGTCTTCTAGCATTCTCATATAAACATGCTTTTTGATAAATGCTTTAAAAAAAATCTAATTTAATATGTATAAGATCAGAAAATAAACAACAAGCCTAAATGTGATGGCACATGTCCTTTCCGCACAGATGACAAAGAATGCAGCTGCAGTTATTTTTTTCTCCTTTTTCTCTCCAGCCAGAAATTGATTTAGGTTTAGAAATGTTTTCTGAACTTGTGCCAAAACTAAATGCTGTGTCACTTCGTCCGCTCACAGCCAAGAAGAAGAAGGAAAGAGAAAAGATGTAAAGAGATTATCTCATTTGTCGGGATTTGCTCTGACTTAAACGCAGATTTAAAAAAAAAAAAAAAGAACATTTAGAAAATTACAAATATTGTGAGTTGTGATAAGCAAAAAAGGGAGCTGGAACAAAAATATTATTAAATTAGTTTAACTGATGTGTGATTCAGTTTATAATGTGAAATTCACTCACATTTGAATAATGGCTCATTTTGTTTTATCAGATTAAATTGCTGCATCACCGGAAAGTATCTGCATGCTGCAGAAAGCACAGATTGAAAATGTGCCTAAAATGTCCTGTCCTGATACCTGGTAATATTATTCTTGTCCTTCTGGTGTAGACATGCCCATCCAGAGCAGTATGATTTGGAAATATTGCTTCACTCGTGTTTTCATAGTTGCTTTGTTGTTCCTTTTAAGTTACTGAGCACACAAACAATGTAGCTGAAGACAAACACATATTAGAAACATGCCCTGGATAATACAATCTACCTGATACCTGCGCTGCCTGTCACACCATAACGCTGCCTTGCATTTCTGCTGTATTGATCTGAGTGCTCGTCCCAACATGGCTAATGCAGTGCTAGCTTCACTCTCAGGTCCAAACATCACTTAGCACTGACGATCAAACACAAGCGCACCCACAGACATTTAGAGTGCAGCGATGATTTGTTCAGACTTGTGGGGAATTGGCCAGCAGGCAGGTAAAACATCCAAATAGATTTTCTAATAAATCCTGATGCTGACAGAGTGCATGTGTGCAACATTTTGACGGAAGTCATCTTGCAAACCACCACCTGGGTAACATTAGAAACCTCCTCCTGATTGAGTTACAGACCCTTTTTGGTCAGCAGCCATGTCTTAATTGCCCAGTTTTGAAAAGCTCTTAACCTGTTCCGTCTCTTCTGTGACCATCTGGCCTTCAAGACATTACTGATGCAGAGGCTGAATCACTAAGATATACCCGGTTTCACATTTTCAACCTGTTACAGGGAAAGACAGGTCTCCTAATGAGTCTGTTGTTTCAGGATTTCAGGACAAGCTGGCCTCTGTTAAAGCAATAATCCACCTGAAAAATACTGTAACACTAATATGAAAACACCTGGTGATGCATTTCTCATCATCACAAGATAACAATGTAAGACAGACTAATGTAAATTGTATTTCACTCAGGTTTCATTGCTCCCAGGTTGCTAATTTTCAGATTCCTACATTAGAACCTACTTTTGTTTGTATTGGTATTTTCTATGTCATCACAGTGTAATGTACACTAGATGCCTTACACTGTTTGTTAGTGAGCTACATGCATATCATATCTTTGTGACTGTAAATGTGACTGGATCAAGTCTTCCAAGAGGCCAGTTTGAAACATGAATCGTCTTGTAACTGACTTTTGTGGTTGCTCATCTGCTTTCCTTGACCTGAAAACCAAACTTTATCAGCCTCACAGGCCAACATGACTGGCAACATGTGCTGTTTCAGTTTGATTTGCATCGGTTTACACGCGTTCCCAGATAAAATCTTCATCATCTGGCCTCCCTGTCCACCATGAGGGGTTTTAAACTAAAAGTGTACACAGCGTCAAATTGAGTTATGGCTCCATGTCAGTAAACTGTTTCCCCCCCTCCTGTTATTGCTAGAGCCAGAAGCTGACATCGTGATTGTCCTTGTCCGATTAGGACAATCAATGAGACTGAACAGAGGAGAGAGGAAGAAGAGGAGGAGGAGGAGTAGAAGGAGAACTGAGGGATGTGTCTGTGTGTGTTGAGGAGGGGGCAGCTCCTCCCATAACTAAGTTAGCGTGCTGCGCTGGAGGTCCATGTTTACAGGGCAGGCGAGGGAGTTTCCTTCACTCAGTGGACGGCTCTGAGAGCGGAGAAGGCAGCAGCAAGCTCTCTCACTCTTTTCTCTCTGGTTATTTGTGCAATTCATCCCTCACTGTGCTGCGACTGGCGACCTGCACACACAGGCTGATCCAGGACTAGCTGGGGGGGGGGGGGCGGGAGCGGCGACATCAGCAGCAGCAGCAGCAGCAGCACCTGCTTAATCCTCCACAACCACCACCCTCCCTCTCTGCCCGGCCCAGGACCTCATCTTTGCTGCCGCCGCCTCCACCACCACTGCCATCATGTGCGACTGTTTCCACCTGGCCTTCCCCAACTGGCACGCCGCCTCAGGGACGGGTGGGCATTGCTCTCTTTGCTCTCTCTGCTTCCCTTTCTCTATCACTTTCTCTGCGCTGTTTTCCCCTGAGCAATTCAGAGATTCAGCAGCAGAGTTCAGTAGTGCAGTGGGAGAGATTACGTCTGTGTGTGTGTTTGTGATGGAGAGAGAAACTGAGTGAGTGTAAGACAGCTGGTGCTGATGCTGCGTTGTCTTGCTAACCTGCAGTGAGTGCTGGGTGTGTCTGCAGAGTGCAGGGGAGTGTTTGAAGATGTCATCATCAAGGATGTCAGGCAGCTCTGCACATCTCCTGTTTCCCTCCTGCTGTGTCTTTGAAGCAGAGGCTGAAAGGCAAACACACTCAGTTAGCAAAGCAGATATCAGCTAAAATAGTGGCTAAGGATAAACTTCCTCGGGGTAAAGATGAAAAAGGGAGATGAAATGTGGGAACAGAAGTAGTCCTAAAATTAACAATACCTTCACTGGCACCCAGATCTAAGCTTTAAAGGTGCAGCTGTGAAATCGGGAAGCGTTACTATCTGTAACCTTGCATCAGTTTTACTGTAGTAACCTGAGGAATAATGAAACTTCTCAAAGTTTAGGATGCTGAAAGCTCTAAAACCTAAGCTTGACACATCCCAGGATTCATTTTTCACTATTTTAATTCTAGGGTTTAATGGAATCAGATCTTATCTTCATGGTTACATCAAATTGATGTTGATGATCTTCTAACTTAATTCAATATATGCACGCCATGTAAACGCACCATATCCAATCACGTATAGGTATGTATGCACAAAACATAGTCGCGCAATTTGTGTGAAACTTTTGCAAATTGGTTGTAATCTTGAATCAGTTGTTTACGGTTAGTGGATGTCTTCCGGTATATTGTGGGTGTTCTTACCAAGGAGGAGTAAGTCAAACTGTAAAATGAGCCAAAGAAATCGCTGCATCATGACAGATGATATAGGATTCAGGAGAAAACCAAAAAGATTCTTACTGGTATTTGCAATGTGATAAATAATATTAAAGACATATTATTGTTGTAGCTTGTGTTAGTTTATGTTGAGGCAAGTGCTCAGGTTGATGTTGATGATCTGCTGTCTGGTAAACCATTAATATGGTACAATATAAAAATAATACTGGCTGTGTTTCCACATTGCCTCTTTCCATTTCCCTCAATTGTCCTCATTTACCCCTGCTGCTGCTTTTAATTATATCTGCATTAAGGTATGGAGAGGTGTGTGTAGCTCTGAGAGGCTTCAGATGATGCTCAAGGTCAGAAAGATAAGAAGCGAGAGAGAGAGAGAGAGAGAGAGAGAGCTCAACTTACTGCTAGGATGGGAGCCAGACAGAGTGGCTGAGCTGCTCGGCAGTGGAGCCGAAAGCAGACGATCCCAATACATTACGAACCATCAGCCTCAGTCAGACAATTCCTGCTCTTAAATCAATATCACACCCTTGAGTAGTTTGTAAGTGTAGCTATTGAAAAGAGTTAATCAGAGCATTTGTTTTAACCTGATTGGAGCATCAGCCAGGTGGATGTTATTTTATACTTTTTGTTTGACCAATTGGGGCTCCAGGCTCACCAAAAGTTTAAACAGACGTTTGCTTTTGTCAGTTTTGTTCTTTTTTGTATTTAATCAATTTTCACTGAGATTTTCATGTTTTGTCATAGATTGAAGACCTCTGAAACATCTTTTAGTCCATTATAGAACACTTAAACCCAGACGGAGTCGCTTGAAATCAATTTTTAAAAACATAAGTGCTTTAAATGAAAAAAAACACTGCAGGTTATATAGACTCTATTAACATGGTTTTACAAGCTAAAAGGTATCATCAGTGAAATTAAAAATAAATCTATCTTTTTTTTGTACAAATTAAACAACTTAATTCAAGTACCTCAAATAAATCACGTTTAAGTCACTTGGTGCTGCAGGCATGTGAGGCAAAACAAACACTAAGAAGTGTTTGCAAACACAGTCCAACCCAGGTGTAGGTTGCTGACCTGAAATAATATTATATCTCAGTGTTTTTGCTGTAATCGCATTCGTGGGAAAACAGGCCGATTAAGATACGAATTCCAGAGTTGTGCTAAGTCTCGCTGCAGCAAATTAATATATTGAAAGCATACGCTTTTGCAGTCTCATGTTCATACAACCCATGTAGAAAATCTAATTCTGTTTTTTTCCCTTCACTCAAATCTTATTATAACTTGGATCCAAAGAAACTGCCTTCCAGTGAAAGGAGCTTGTGTCTGTCTATTACACAAAACTTGAGCTGAATCCAAATCCAAGAGCACAAATAATGAGCTGCATAACCTTATATTAGTTTAGTGAAGAAGGGAGCTTCAGGGAGCCTTCCAGGTGCTTTTCAACAGGAAACATAAACTGGAGCAGAAGGTGGTTACGTAAGAGATGAGGAAAGGCAACTAACACAGTACAGATAAGTTCAGATAAGTTTTTCAAGAGTAAATCTACAAACCTATTTATATTTCTAGAACAGTTTTTGTTTATGTAAGATCTTGTGATATGAATCAATGACAACAGGTGAGCGTATGAGAGGTTCACTGACATAGCATTGTGTCACGACAGATGAGTTTAACTGCCCACATTAGTGTTGTTTAAAAGCAGACGGTCGCAGACTCGCTGTAGTTTATAAGCCTCATTCTTTATCAGCACAAGCATGAGGATGAGCCACACCCAAATCCAGAGCTGCAGTTGCACCCAAATATGAATCATGCAGGATCTGCACCACAAAAGACTTCAGCATCAACCGCTTGTGCTTACATCTGCGGAATATTGCCATCAAAGTCAAATTAGAATATTACAGCTTTATGAATATTTACAATATCTGATCTATGACACGTCAAACAAGTAAATAGGTCTACTATATGATTTTATTTAGACAATTTGAGCAGTGAGAGTTGTTATCAGGCCCTCCACAGCGCCCACATGACAAATATTTGAGAAAGGAGGTTTCTACATGTGCACTGCCAGTTATTGGGGAAGGAACACTGAACATCCGCCTGGATGAAGTGGTGACTAACATAAGACATACTAATAGTCATGATCCTCTATAAAGCTCACTACACACATTGATGCCTACTGACTACTCCAGCAGCTGTGTACTTGAGACACGACACGACAGTTTTCTGCCTTGAAGAGCCCAGGCTCTCTGGTTAATTTAATAAATCTATCTAATTCTGTTCAGCTTAACTTCTTGAAGACACACTGGATCAGTCACGCCTCCTTGCACCACAGCAAAGTATACAATTAAATTTAAAATATGACACTGTACTTTGTTGTAAATAATTTACCGCTAAATGGAAAGGTGCAGCTGTAAACCCACTTTCAAAACAAGTTGTGTAAAACAAGAAATAGTTTCTCAGAAACTCGGTGAAAAACATTTTATGAGATGTAACACAGTTGTCAGACTTGAATATCAATATCTCTGCAAAACCTCCACACTTTTCTTTTCCATCTCACTCCTTCAATGACAAACTGCTTCCTGTTTCTAGGTGTGTCTCCTCCATCTAATCAGCTTGTTATGGCTGAAACATACATACTTCTCTTTCAGCGTGTCTTTCACCTGTTTAAAGAAGCACATTTAACATATTTGAAAGTTTTTTGTGCAAGGGGACTGATGCATAAAGTGATAGGTCTACAGCTGGTTACGGTTTCAACTGCATCTTGTGTGTACTGTCCAGATGTGAAGATAAGACTGGAGATAGACTTTAAAGGGTAACTTCAGCATTTTTCAACCTTATTTCCTTATGTTTCTGTGTGTATGTTTTTGAAATTGGTCCAGTACTGAGCGAGCGTGCTGCAGTTGACAGCAGTGGCACAGGTACTGCAATGCAATTCTTGCGGAGTACTCAAATTAATCAAAGTCCACAAAAGTGCTCGTTTTTGCCACTGACAGGCTCAGATTGTTATTACAAGAGTCTGACAACATAATGGAAGGATCCCTACAGTGTAAGATCCTTTTTGTTTAACCAGAAACTGTTGTAATAACGCTCTCCGTCACCAAATTCCCTTGACAAAAGCTCTATTTTACCTCTTTGGTCCACCGCTGCCTTGATCGGTTATAGTTTGCATGTGTAATTGTGTGCAAAATACCAATGTCACACAATAACACAAACTAACCGACCGAGGCAGCAGTAGACCAGCAACTCCCGTGAGGTAAAATGAATGTTTTTATCAAAGGAGTCTAGTGGCTTTGATGAGAGTGATATAGCGAGTGTTTCTTGTTAAACAAAGGGGTTTAGGTCTCTCTCTGTAGGGATCCTTTCCATAATGTTGTCAGACACTTACAATAACATCTGAGCCAGTCAGTGGCAAGGATTACGTTGCGGCCCTGTCTGCAGTGCGCTCATATCTCAATACTAGACCAGTTTAAAAAGAAATTGTCCCCAATTAGTCACACAGACACACAAACATGAGCAAATAAGGTACAGGTTGAAACAACACTGAAGTTACCCTTTAAACTACCAACCAAAACACATTTTTCTAGAGGGAAAGTTAAGGCATCTCAAGTCAGTAGGACTCAGCGTCATGAATGCCTGTACAATTTGTCATTCCATCCAATAGCTGTTTAGATATTTTAATCTCAACTAAAGTTACCAAAAGACTTACAAAAAATGCCCATATCATTGATATTTTAAAGGACTTATTACAGGAATGGTTTGTTATTGGGTTGTTAATGTAGAAAGACTGATTACGTTTCTCAGTTACTTTTTGCTGCAGTGGAAAAAGCCTTCTGTAAGTTTTAGTGGTTCCACTAATTTACGTTTTATTTTATAAATTAAACTGTTCAAAATGTGTTGTTTAAGGTGGACTTGACAAGTAGGGTGGTCTTCACCTTCATTAGTTTATTAAGATTATTAAATGTAAAGTTATTTTAAGGAATATGTGGTGCAAAGAGTTAAGTCTCAGAACAAAAGTCACCACGAGGACCTGTAGAAACCACTTTATTCAATTTGGGAGTGACACCCAAGGTATGCTGCAACCTAAAAGTGTCCCGCCTCCTTTGTCCATCTGAGACTGAACAAATTACTTTGGGCATTTTGGCAGTCACACTCACGGACAGTTTGGACAGCGTGTTATTAACACCTTGTTTTATTTCCAGGTGTTGAACTAACAACAGCAGCAGGTAGGTGTGCTGTTTGATTTCACAGAATGGGCTCTGTATTTGAAATTCTGAGAGTTTTTTGTTACTCAAACCTGAACAGACAGATGGTTATGACTTTATGATAAGCATTCATAGGAGACTTGAGTTCATATGCAGGCAGAAGTAGAGACTCCAGACTGTGGTGTGTTCAGAGCTGTGAATCTGCCTTTCTGTTGGATAAATCTCCTCTGGTGTTATTTCTGATCCTTGTGTCAGAGCAATATATGTATATGATGACAGTGCAGGTTGTGTTTCAGGTATTTTTTTTTCAGTACCAGTAAGGAAAAATCAATATAATATGTCATTTGATAGCTTTTCTAACTCTCTTGAATGATCAACCTTGAGGCAGCAACACACCCTGATACAGTAGGAGGTTTTTATACAATGAGTCTCTTGCCATAATTGTCTTCTAAGTGCATTAGAAGATAAGAGACTGACACAGGCAGTTAAACCTCTTCACATGACATGCATTAGGGCAGTGGGTGGGGTGTCATTGTGGTGGTTAGTTGAGAAACTATGGTGCAGCAGTATATATGTTATATACTGTGCACATTGTGCAAGTTTGTTTAATTCAAAGTTTTAGCCTCTATGTGTAGAAGCTGTTTTGATACAGAGGAGATGCTTTTAACAACAAGAGAAAAAGAATATCATCCATAAAAATCTGTTTAGAACTACTTCTGGACCCAAACGAGTGTATTGGCACACAGAGCATACACACAACTATTTTGATTATTAATTTAATGTTTTTGTAAAGTGGCCACTGATTAACTTTACTGGATTGTTAATTGCTTTTGGGAGCTCTGTTACCCTGAAAGAATTTAACTACAGACCTTCTCATCCAGTGTTGCAGGTTCAAACATTAAACACTTTTGGCTTAAATTCATTGATTTAAGTTGAGGATTTTAGTGCTTTATTAAGACTTACAAAGACTACATTCTTAGTTTTATAATGTATCAGCTATCACTCAGCAGAAAAAGTTTAATCAGCTGCTCAAAGACCAAAAACATTTTATCCGCAATTGAACCAATACAACTGCATCTATTCATTACTAATTTCTACTGATAACATAACATCTGCTGATCAGTGGCCTCTTGATGACATGAATTTATTGACCAATGAGGATCTAAAACCACTGCAGATGTGGAGATGTGGTCAGAGCAATGTGCTTTCTCCACAACCGTTAAGCCTACATAAACGCAAACTTAAAATTATTTTAACCCAAACATTAGAACTATGAACAAATAGACGATATCTCCAAATATGAATCCTGATACAATGAACCTATTAATATGGCCTGAATAAAGACATAGTTTAAAATGGAATCAAATCCAACACAGAGTAGTTGTCAGAGCTGGTAATAATAATAATCTGACTAACCATTTTTAAATGGAATCAGACTTTCCCTTTTTGGCAGCCTTGATGGGCTGCAGAATCAAATCTGTAGATCGATAAGGATCACTTAACAGATGCAGGAGGCAGCGGGTCCCTGGGGGAATTATTGCCAGGAAGAACTCTAAATAGTCTCATCACCGGCTCCAGTCTCTCTGAGCCCCAAAACAAACGCTAGGAGTCAGACTGGGTAGAAGTCTCAGCTTACTGCTTAAAAAATAGATATAAACGCCAGTGCTAATCTTCTGTTCTGTACTGTGCAGACTGTATTGTTTACTGACATAGTTTTGTACAATAAAATAATTACATACTTCTTGTTCAATGCATTTTATTTGCTGTGTTTGTACATGTAAAATGACATTAAACAACATTATTTATTCAGTGGAATTTGTTAAGCTGCTCTGTGATTGGTGCTGCTAACATTACCTAATGGAAAGGGCAACATATTTTTTTAGATGACGTTAAGTACTTGTGCTCGCGAAGCCTGTTGAAATGAAGCTCTACTGTTTATAAAAATATTATTACGATAAGAAGATGTCATATCAGGTGTTTTTTGTGTGTAAACAGGAGCTGGTCGGAGGCTGAGAGCACCAGAGCCTGGTACAGAGGACGACTCAGTGAGTGACTTCACTGTGACTGACAGTGAAATTACTAATTTATTTATTTATTGTCATTCCGTTTGATTTCTTTATCAGTCACTGAAGGGCTTCAATCAACAGAAAAATGTAAATGCTCTGTATTTGTATAGCTCCTTTCTAGTCTTTTCAACCACTCAAAGCACTTTTAAACTACATCTGCATTCACCAGTCACACACATTCATACACTGAGCCTAAGTGCTCAAACAGAAACTAACATTCACACACATTCATACACTGGCGGAACAGCCGCAATTCAGGGTTCAGTATCTTGCCCAAGGCCAACCCGCTCTATCTCCTGAGCCACAGCCGCCCCAAAAACAATATGTAAAAACAGAAAACATTAAGTCTATGCATTGATTAACTTTGTTAATACTATTGTTATTGTTGTCATGTATTTATGTTTATTTTTATTTATTATTTGTTTTTGTCTGTATGTTGTGTCTCACAATTTAAAAAAAAAAGTATACACCAGGGATGTCTGTATCATCTTTTTTGGCCTTACTCCAAATTACTTATAGGTATATCTGATAACGAGTCTGATCCGTATATCTACCTAAAAGATTATTAAATATGTCTGAAATAGTGAATTAACAGCTGTACCCTTCTAAATTTGGCACACTTTACTTTTCTTGAGCTTCTTGATCCGAAGGCCCATGTTTAAAACAAGTCATTGATTGATAAGTCATTGGGATTAATCCTCTGGGGACCATTAATGTCTGTAATAAATTTTAAGGGAATAAATCAAATTATTTTTTAAGATATTTTGCTCTGGGCCAAAGTGTTGGACTGACAGACCGGCCAACATTGCCATCCCTGGAAACACACAACTAATGTGACAATTATTAAACAGCCAAACACCCAATCAGTGCTACATTTGGCATGGCAAGGTGTTATCACACTACTTGTGATCCAGTTTTATCGACAGCTTTATGGTTCATGCTGGAAGCGCAAATTCACGAGTTTTAACATGGCTGAAGAAGAGGAGATGCTGTTTAGGCAGATGCATGATGTCAGATTTAAACTGACTCAAATGTCATGGTATCTATTTGAAATGAACACTGTTTTGGAAAAAGACCATGTGACTGTTTTCGTTGTTTACTGACCTTATATCCACGCAGATATGTGACGAGCCATCTCAGTTCACAGAGGGAGAGAGGCCGCGCCCTCAAGGATCATCCCCCGTCGAGGAGTATCCTGAAACCGAAAAATACACAGACAGTGACAAAGAGGTACAGAGCACCAACATACCACTATGTTGTAACACACAGACACAACAAACCAGGTTACAGGGAGAAACCAGGGGCCTGTACCACAAAGTGAGTTCAACATACCCAGGATATCTTTTAGTTATCTGGCTTAACTAACCCTAACAATCGCGGTCTGGATAAGCGGTACCACGAAGCTGGTTATCAACTCGGTAAGTCATTCCAGGCTTTCCCAATCCGGCCAAGAGCGCGTTAACATAAAAGAGGCGGTGTTAGCAGCAGATAACCAATCACAGACATGAACAAGTCCACTGGCATCAGAGTGTCATATTTTACAAACGAAGAGCAAACTGTAACACTACAGAACACAAGCTAGGATTCATCAGAACCCTGCACCACAGAGCGGACCACATACCAACAAGAGCAGAAGCCAGAGAGCCTGTGGATACCCTAAATGGACCTTTGTGAAAACAAAATCCAGGAAGAAGACCAACACTACGGGGGATGAGGAGAGGAAGGTCAAACGCAACAACATTGTGATTCCATATGTGTCTGGAGTATCAGAGAAACTCAGGAGGATTTTCAACAAACACCACAACCTGTGTTTTTTTAAACCCAAGAACACGCTAAGACAGAGGCTGGTACAACCCAAAGGCCGCACATCCAAACACAAGAAAAGCAACAAGGAGGGCCAACTCCTCAGGTCAAGACTCTTTTTTACATCTGAAGGACAGAGGACACTCGTTTGAGAATCACCAGGTGCACATTTTAGACAGAGAAGATGGATGGTTTGAAAGAGGTGTCAAGAAAGCCATTAACCCCCGGGATGAGATGCCCTCGTTGAACAGAGGGGGGGTCTACGCCACCACTTACAATGCTGTCCTTTCATCACTTCCCAGGCAACTCAACAAGCGTTGACAACCACTTGGCCTCAGGTGAAGATACTAACGATGGTCGTTCAGACTCGGCCACGTGTGGTCTAACGACCATGACGACTGTCTTTACCACAGCCAGGAGCAATTACTATCCCAGTCAGAACTGAAGAAGTCTCTTGGATGAGGGACTAAACGTCTTCTAGTATCTTCAGCAAAGTCCATTTGCCCTTGACCTCAGAGTCAAGAGTTTCTCCACAACACCGCCACAAACATAAAAGCAGCCTATAAAACAGTGGGTGGGATTTTCTACAGATGGAGATGTCATTTTCCAAGAGAGCTGATTGGTCAGTAGACGGCGTTTTCATAGAGTTGATCTCTTATCTGGAACATAACCTGCTCCGGAGCAGGTTAGCCATTCAGCATAAGTTACCATGGTAAAAAGTGAACCACCTTCGTAGTACTGAAAACCCAGGGTTAACCCCGAAAACTTGAACCTGGTTACTTGTAATAACACTTAGTCATGCAGTCTATTTTGTTTAAGCTGTAGACAAATTAAGTTAGAAAAACAAGCTTGTGTTCAAGAGAAGCAAGCTTGTGCATCTAGCTCATTTATGCTTATGCAGAGCTACAGTATGCATGCCCTAAAATCTAAAAGTGAGGATCACTAAAACAAAGGCTAGTGATATTGACAAAGACTTTAACTGGACTGCATCAGTGTTTGCTCCACATGAAGCTCCCACACTTAAATGTTACAAATACGTAGAAATAAAATAATAATTGGAATTGTATATAATGGAAATCATACATCACGATTACTTTGAAATCGTAACCACAATGTGCATATGCTAACACAGAACAGTCCTAAACTACATGGTGCTGTTAACAGAGAACTGTATTTATGTTTGGTGAGTTACTGTGCTTGGCTGCCACTCTCAAAAATTTGTTTAAACATTTAAATTAAACCTTTGATGGAAGAAAACGTTCTATTGGCTCTTTTTCCTACTTTAAAACTTTAAAGTAGCCACAGCCTGCTAACAATGCTATAGTTTGTTGTACAAAGCCTGCTAGGCAGTGCGCAATGTTTTATAAACTGTTCCATCAATGTAGCAATTTGTTCCCTCGAATTAAGTTATTAAATTATCACCATCATCCAGCCATTTGTTCTTTTCTCCTCTGCACTCCCAGTATAGACAGCTTGGATTTAATACAAATTTATTTTGATCTTAAACATGTGGATATAATTTGTACACTGAGTGCACAAATTCAGAATTTAAAGGAACAATATATCACTTACCCACTACACACACAGTATTTGTGTCCAGTCAACAGTGTGATGTAAGATGGGCTCTCTGTTTTGTTTACTGTTGCAATAATGATACAGACTCAGCTACTCCCATGTATGAACCCTCTCAGCGCAAATACTTTCAAAGCCTGTTGATCAAACATATCTGTCGCCTTTTTTTGTTCAAATAAGGCTGAAGCTCTGACTGCAACAGTTTTCTTTTTTTTTTTTCAGTATCATGTTTAGTTATAATTAAACAATATTCTTTCTATTTTCCTTTTAGTGTGAAGCGGAGCATGACCCACACTACAAAAGTGGGAGTGGAAAGAAAACTAAAAAGTCTGGGCTTGGGTCCATGTTTGAAAAGCGCTCAACTCCAAAGATGAGTAAACTAAAGGTGAGACGTTCCCACCTTCTCCTCTCTGTACTGTATCTGTGAATCCCTTCAGGCTGTGCTGCAGCAGGGGATAAATACCACAGTTTAAGGTAAAATTATTTTATCCTATCTGTTTTGATGTGTTGGCAGGAAGTTCATAGCCCTGAGTCTGGGTTGATAGTGAAAACAGCCAAAGATGGATGTTCAGAAGGTCTCGTTTATGGTGGAGGTGGGAAAGAGGGGATCTTCATTAAGGAGGTGGTACCAGAGTCACCTGCCTCAAAAAGTCTGAAACTGAAGGAAGGTAAAATAGCAGTTGGAAATGAGAAACAATTATAGTCATATTTTCTTTACATTACATTGAAAACTAAACATGCTTCAAATGATACGAGTATGAAATGTAGGATTAACAAAGTTTCTAATTAGGTTAATTGGAAAATCTATTTGTTATTTACAAATTTCAACACCTATAAACAACATCCCATTAAAAACTACAAACAGACCATTAAGCGTGATTTATTCTCCTGCGTCGGGTCCACGCACAAAGACCCGACGCAGGAGTATAAATCATGCATTTACGCTAGTTTGCTCGGGTTGTGATGGTCAAATATATTGATCCACCTTGTTACAGCCGCTGGTTTGGCTGCTAGTAAAATTTACTTCAAAGCACGGGGACTTCCTGTCGGTTTGGAGGCATTGCGAGGCTGCCCAGTCGACTAATCACAGTTCTTACAGTCCGCGTCGCCTCGATGTGTAGTTACATTTTTGAGGAGGTGCACAGCGTAAGCTACAGCGTAAGCTACAGCGTAGGGTACGGGGCTACGCAGAGGCTACGCCTTTGATTCCACGCAGAAGTATAAATCACACTTTACAGTACTTTAACTGAAGAAACTTTATAAGATTAAGTTACAGAGTCTAAGACTTATCATTTATTAAACAGTTTCATAGACCAAAAGCCTTCTTATCTACGTGCTTCTGTAATACTTTGCTCTTGTTTACACAGGTGATCAGATTCTGAGTGCCACGGTGTATTTTGACAATGTGTCATATGAGGATGCCATTCAAATTCTGGAGCACGCTCAGGCTTACAAAGTGAAGCTCTGCTTGAAACGCAAACCGGACATTATAGAGACTGAACCAGCCATCGAATCTGATGTCATCCCTGTAACTATCTTCAAGTTGTCATCTCAGACCCTTTGTGATAAGTACTCTAGTGGCTAAAACTGATGTTTCATATTTCTCTTGCTCAACAGGAGGATGATCTCTACGCTCCAGAGATGAGGGAGCAAGGAAAAACTAAAAGGCGTGGTGATGCCCGCATTTCATGGCCTAAGTTTCCCTCCTTTGGAAAAGGACGGAAGTCCCGCTTCGCAAGGTCTCACAGTTCCTCAGAGGCTGATGAGCAGAGAAAGCTTGAGCTTAGTCCCACCACAAGTGACACAGAGTCACCTATAAAATCACAGGATGCTCTCAAAGGCAAGAAGCAAAAAATAAAACAATCTGTTTTTAAAAGGAGAGGCCGCATAAGTTCATCTGAAGACCAGGACACAGATGTAAGTGGGCAGATCAGTGGCAATATTCTCCAGACACACGAAGCATCAGACATGCTATCACCGGAGTGCCTTCAAAGTCCTTCGGGAGAAACACCTGAAGTCTATGTGACAGAGGATCCAAAAATAGTGGACGATTTAATGCTTGAGCAAAATGATCAAAAACTGACTGAAACTGTTCAACATAAGGCGGAACTCATCACTATAGGTAGCACTTTGAAAACAGAAGATCTAACTGTGGCTCTGGCAGATGAAAAAAGCCCCTCTGGTCTCAAGTCCCCTGACGGGAAGAAAAAGAAGAAAGAACGATCTGAATTCAAAATGAAAATTTTGGGGAAGGATAAATTGCACAAGAAAGATGCAAAAGCAAAATCCTCACCAAAAAGGCTGAAAACGCTGGGGGCAAGTATGGAAATTGCAGATCAACCTGAAAATGAAAAATCAGATGTACAGGGAGGTCAACTAGCACTCGATGCCAATACGCAAATAATCAGCAGTGAAAGTTCAAGGGTAATCTCAGCCAAATCAGTGATGGAAATGAGCATACCAAAGGTGGAACTTGATATATCTGATGTTGCATTAATAGAAAAATCTCCACAGAAAGGTGAAGAAAAAACAAAGAAAGGCAAGGATATTAAACAAAAACAAGAAACAAAGACAAGTCCAGCATTCAAACTGCCTAAAATAGGTTTTAGTGACATTGCCACTGAGGAGACTATTCAAAAAATTAATTTAAATGTTGAAGAACGCCAAGCTAAAATTGAGCAGCTTACAACTCAGGGTTCAGAAGTGAAAGAAGATCCTTATGAGCGACTGTCAAAACGCAGTCTTTCCAGAACAAAACTTCCAAAACGTGAAGACATTGAGATTCCAGGTATGGAGGATATGTCTATGAGGACCACAGCCAAGATAATTAAAGATCCTAAAGCTGTTTCTACTGGACATTATGAACAAATTCAAGCTGAAACTGTACAAATGTCAATTGATGTTGACAGCGTGAAAGAGGCAGTTTCAAAATTGCCTGGATTTAAGCTGCCTAAGGTTGACACATCTGGCGTACCGATTCCTGAAGAAATTACTGTGATAGATGCAAATGCACAAAGAATATCTGTGAAAACACCTACTAAAGTCTTAGATACCAAAACAAAACATGAGGCACACTTCCCCAAGTTTGACATTACTGCCTCTCCAGAAATCTCCAAGACTACAGTCAAACTACCAAAGATCACACCTGCTGATTTAACCTCAGAGGCACTTTTAATTGAGACCAAGGTAGATTTAAAAACACCTGAAAAGAAGTACAAAACCAAGGCAAAACAAAGCGACAAGATAAAAACTGAGGTTTATAAACGAGAACATATTATAATACCAGGAAAAGAAAGTGCACAAGAAGCTGCTATTCTTCAGCGAAAAGAAATGAAAACATCAGTAACTGAAACATTGAAAGGCAAGGGACAGACTGAAGGAGTCATAGCTGATGTCAAAATACCTGAAATTGACAGCATTGAATATATTGATTCAGTAGGTGGTTCACCAGCCAAAAACGATGGTGGCATTAGGCTTACAAGTTTTGGTGTTAATCTTGATGCTGCAAAGCCACAGGCTGACATCTCCTTTCCAGAGATCAGAGGTGAAGTAAAACATGTTGAAGCCAAGAAGCAAACATTCAAACTGCCCAAACTTGAAGCTCTTACTGCAGGCAACAGAGTAAATGTGCTTGAGGCAGATATGGATATAAACATTGATGTGGCAGAGATAAAAACACTTGAAAGAGAGGGAAAAGGTAGCAAGTTTAAAATGCCAAATCTGGGCATTTCCATGCCAAAGGTGAAAGGACATGTCACACAACCAGAAGCTAAAGCTGAGGTCAGACTCCCAGAAGTTCCTGAGGTTGAAATTGGAAATGTTTCTGTTCCAGAGCAAAAGTTGGCAGATGAAAGACATGAATTGGAAGTCAAACCTCTGCAGACTGAGCATGAACTTGATGGACAAGAAAGCAAGTTAAAAATGCCAAAGTTGGGAATCGCAATGCCAAAAGTAAAAGGGCCTGAAGTTGATTTGAGCTTTTCAAAGAAAGATGGAGATGTAGCAGAGGCTAAAGCTTATACCCAAATCCCAGAAGACTCAAACATTTCTTTTGATATGAAACAACCAGAAAGTGGAGCACAAATAGATGTGCAAGGAAGCAAATTTAAAATGCCAAAGTTTGGAATGACAATGCCAAAGGTAACAGGTCCTGAAATTGAAAAAATCAGCTTATCTAAGAAAGACAAAGATGTGACACTACCAGAAGCCAAAGCTGAAGTAAAATTTCCTCAAGAGGTTCTTGCAGTTGATATTAGAGCACCCAGCGCTGACACTGAAGAACCGTTGATGGATATGAAAACTACAGGAACTGAACATGAGGGGAAAGGAAGCAAGTTTAAAATGCCACATCTTGGGTTCTCCATGCCTAAAGTCAAAGGGCCTCAAATTGATATAAGTGTGTCAAAGAAAGATGCAGATGTCACACTGCCAGAATCCAATACTGAGGTCAAACTCCCAGAAGCTCCTGAAGTTAATGTCAGTCTTGCAAAAGCAGATGTTTCTCTTCCAGAGGACAAAGTGGAAGTTAAAAAGCCTGAAATAGACATAAAACCTCTACACACTGAAGTTGAACTTGAGCAAGGAAGCAAATTTAAAATGCCAAAGTTTGGAATGACAATGCCAAAGGTAACAGGTCCTGAAATTGACTTCAGCTTATCTAAGAAAGACAAAGATGTGACACTACCAGAAGCCAAAACTGAAGTCAAACTCCCTGACGTTAAACTGAAAGAACCTTCTGCTCATGTGGAAATTAAAGCTCCTGAGATCAAGGTTGCGACAGAGGACACAGAAGGATCACCATCAAAATTTAAGATGCCGACATTCAAATTACCAAAATTTGGAGTTGGTACTCCAAGTTCCAGCATAGAAATGCCCGATACAGACAAAGACGTCAAAATCGATGGAGTTGATATCAAATTTCCTGAAGAGGTTCTTGCAGTTGATATTAGAGCACCCAGCGTTGACACTGAAGAACCTTTAATAGATATGAAAACTACAGGAACTGAACATGAGGGGAAAGGAAGCAAGTTTAAAATGCCACATCTTGGGTTCTCCATGCCTAAAGTCAAAGGGCCTCAAATTGATATAAGTGTGTCAAAGAAAGATGCAGATGTCACACTGCCAGAATCCAATACTGAGGTCAAACTCCCAGAAGCTCCTGAAGTTAATGTCAGTCTTGCAAAAGCAGATGTTTCTCTTCCAGAGGACAAAGTGGAAGTTAAAAAGCCTGAAATAGACATAAAACCTCTACACACTGAAGTTGAACTTGAGCAAGGAAGCAAATTTAAAATGCCGAAGTTAGGAATGTCAATGCCAAAAGTAAAAGGACCTGACATTAATTTTGGCTTATCAAAGAAAGATGGAGATGGCACACTCCCAGAAGCCAAAGCTGAAGGAAAAGTCCCTGAAGTTGAATTAAAAGAACCCTCTGTGGTGGAAATTAAAGCTGGTGAAACAAAAGTTGCAGCAAAAGGTAGAGAAGCATCACCATCAAAATTCAAGATGCCGACATTCAAAGTACCAAAATTTGGAGTTGGTACTCCAAATGTTTCTGTAGAAGTTCCTGATTTGGACAAAGATGTCAAAATTGATGGAACTGACGGTTCTGTGGTTAACATTGCAGCACCTAGCATTGACATTGAGGGCCCCTTGATAGATATGAAAACTACAGAAACTGAACAGGACGGAAGAGGAAGCAAGTTTAAAATGCCACATCTTGGTTTCTCTATGTCAAAGGTGAAAGGACCTAAAATTGATTTAGGCCTATCAAAGAAAGACGTGGATGTCACATTACCAGAGGCTAAAGCTGATGTAAAACTTCCAGAAGTCGATTTTGGAAAAGCAGATGTTTCAATTCCAGAGGCTGAGATGGAGATTAAAAAACCTGAACTGGAAATGCAGTCCTTTCAGACTAAAGGTGAACTTGATGGACAAGGAGAAAAGTTCAAAGTGCCAAAGTTTGGAATCAAAATGCCCAAAGTAAAAGGGCCAGAAATTGACTTGAGCTTATCAAAGAAAAATGATGATGTCACACTGCCACAGACAAAAGTTGAGGTCAGACTCCCAGATGCCCCTAAAATTGATGTCAGTCTTGGAAAAGCAAAAGTTATGATTCCAGAGGAAAAGGCCAAAGTTAAAAAACCTGAGCTGGCAACGAAACCTTTGCAGAGTGACGTTGAACTTGAAGGACAAGGAGGCAAGTTCACAATGCCAAAGTTTGGAATCAAAATGCCAAAAGTACAAGGGCCTGAAATTGATTTAAGCTTATCAAAGAAAGATGTAGATGTCACATTGCCAGAATCTAAGGCTGAGGTTAAACTCCCAGAAGCCCCTGACAGTGACTTTAATCTTGGAAAAGTAGATATTTCAGTTCCAGAAGCAAAGATGGAGGTTAAAAAACATGAGCTGGAAATGAAATCCCAGCAGTTTGAAGGTGAACTTGACGGGCAAGGAAGCAAGTTCAAAATTCCAAAGTTTGGAATATCAATGCCAAAACTAAAAGGACCTGAAATTGATTTGAGCTTATCAAAGACAGATGTAGACGTAAGACTACCAGAAGTCAAAGCAAAGGTCAATATCCCTGATGTTGAACTAAAAGAACCTTCTGCTAAAGTGGAAATAAAAGCTCCTGAAATTGATGCTCAATTAAGTAATGTGAAAGAATCACCATCAAAATATAAATTGCCAACATTCAAATTTCCCAAATTTGGACTTGCAACTCCAATTGTCAGTGCTGAAGTACCTGTTACAGACAAGGAAATCAAACTTGATGGAGCTGACATGCACATATCTATGCCACACACAGATGTTGATGTACCAGAAGTTACAGCAGAAGTCCATCTCCCAGAGGTTAAAGTCAAAGAGCCTTCAGGGGGTGTTGGTATAGAGCGACAGCCAGGGGTTGAGGTAGACGCAAAACTGAAAAAGCCAAGGTTTTCAATGCCCAAATTTTCTTTTTCAAAACCAAGTGTTCAGGCCCCAGGAGTTGATGTCAGTCTTAAGGATGTGAATGTTGCGGTTTCAGAGGGAAATATTGACGTGAAAGGAGAGGCAGTGGATATGAAAGCACCAGAGTGTGAAGCAGAAATTGATGGTCAAGGAAGCAAATTTAAAACGCCAAAGTTTGGAATCACAATGCCAAAAGTAAAAGGGCCTGAATTTGATTTAAACTTCTCAAAAAAAGATGGAGATGTGACACTTCCTGATGTTAAAGCGGAGGCTGAACTCCCACAAACTCCTAAAATTGCGGTGGATATGAAACCACCAGAGTGTGAAACAGAAATTGATGCACAGGGAAGAAAGTTTAAAATGACAAAGTTTGGAATCACAAGGCCTGAATTTGATTTAAGTTTATCAAAGAAAGATGCAGATGTGACATTACCAGAAGCCAAAGCTAAAGTCAAACTCCCTGACACTGACCTGAAAGAACCTTCTGCTCAAGTGGAAATTAAAGCTCCTGATATCAAGATTGAAGGAAAGGACACAGAAGGATCACCATCAAAATTTAAGATGCCGACATTCAAATTACCAAAATTTGGAATTGGTACTCCAAGTGCCACCATAGAAGTGCCTGATACAAACAGTGACGTCAAAATCGATGGAGCTGATATTAAAATTCCTGAAGAGATTCTTACAGTTGACATTGCAGCACCCAGCATTGACACTGAAGGCCCTTCAATACATATGAAAACTACAGGAACTGAACATGAAGGAAAGGGAAGCAAGTTCAAAATGCCAAAGTTTGGAATGACAATGCCAAAGGTAACAGGTCCTGAAATTGATTTGAGTTTATCAAAGAAAGATGAGGATCTGACACTACCGAAAGCCAAAGCTGAAGTCAAACTCCCCGACGTTGAAATGAAAGAACGTTCTGCTGAGGTGGAAATTAAAGCTCCGGAGATTAAGGTTGCTACAAAGGATACAGAAGGATCACCATCAAAATTTAAGATGCCCACATTCAAATTACCAAAATTTGGAATTGGTACTCCAAGTGCCACAACAGAAGCTGATATTAAAATTCCTGAAGAGGTTCTTGCAGTTGACATTACAGCGCCCAGCATTGGCACTGAAGGCCCATCAATAGAGATGAAAACTACAGGAACTCCACAAGAAGGAAAAGGAAGCAAGTTTAAAATGCCAAGTCTCGGTTTTTCTGTGCCTCAAGTTAAAGGGCCTGATTTTGATTTAAGCGTATCAAAGAAAGATGTTGATGTGACACTACCAGAAGCCAAAGCAAAAGGAAAACTCCCTGACATTAAACTGAAAGAACCTTCTGCTCATGTGGAAATTAAAGCTCCTGAGATTGAAGCTCAAACAGATAATTTTGAAGGATCACCGTCAAAAATTAAAATGCCAACATTCAAATTACCCAAATTAGGAGCTACTACCCCAAAGGTCAGTGTGGAAGTACCGGATGTGGACAAAGACATTAATATTGATGGAGCAAAGCTGGAAGTACCTAAAGTGGGAGCTACAGTTGATGTCACGGCACCCAGCATTGATACTAAAGGTCTATCTGTAGATGTGAAAGTTAAAGGAAGTGAACTTGAAGGATCAGGAAGCAAATTTAAAATGCCAAAGTTTGGCATCTCAATGCCAAAAGTAAAAGGTCCTGAAATCAATTTGAGCTTATCACAGAAAGATGTAGATGTCACACTCCCAGAAGCCAAAGCTGAAGTTCAACTTCCAGATGTTGAAGTCAAAGAACCTGAAGGTGCCATTTCAGTACCAGATGCACCTACAGTTGACGCTGAAGCTAAGATGAAACGACCAAACTGGACATTTCCTAAATTTTCATTTTCAAGGACAGGTGGTAAAGCCCCTGAAGTTGATGTCAACCTTGAAACTCCAACAGTTGATGTTACATCACCAGAGGCCAAAGCAGAAGTCTGTCTACCAGACGTTGAAGTCCAAGGACCTTCAGGGGCTATTTCAATGGAAGAGCCACCTGCTGCAGAGCTTGATGCAAACTTGAAAAAAACTAGATTCTCCCTACCCAGAATTTCTTTCTCAAAGTCAGGTGTTAAAGAACCTGATGTCAGTGCTAAGCTCCCACATGTTGATGTTTCTCTTCCAGAAGTAAATGTGGAAGTCAAAAGACCCGAAGTGGAGCTCAAGCCACTAGAAGGTGATGCAGAATTAGAAGGGCAGGAAAGCAAATTTAAAATGCCAAAGTTTGGCATCTCAATGCCAAAAGTAAAAGGACCTGAACTCGATTTGAGCTTATCAAAGAAAGATGTAGATGTCACACTCCCAGAAGCCAAAGCTGAAGTTCAACTTCCAGATGTTAAATTGAAACAAGCGTCTGCTAAAGTAGAAATTAAAGCTCCTGAGATTGAAGCTCAAACAGATAATGTTGAAGGATCCCCATCAAAATTTAAGATGCCGACATTCAAATTACCAAAATTTGGAGGTGGTACACCAAGTGCCACCGCAGAAGTGCACAAAGATGTCAAAATCAATGGAGCTGATATTAAAATTCCTGAAGAGGTTCTTGCAGTTGACATTACAGCGCCCAGCATTGACACTGAAGGCCCTTCAATACATATGAAAACTACAGGAACTGAACATGAAGGAAAAGGAAGCAAGTTTAAAATGCCAAAGTTTGGAATGACAATGCCAAAGGTAACAGGTCCTGAAATTGATTTGAGTTTATCAAAGAAAGATGTAGATCTGACACTACCGGAAGCCAAAGCTGAAGTCAAACTCCCTGACGTTGAAATGAAAGAACATTCTGCTGAGGTGGAAATTAAAGCTCCGGAGATTAAGGTTGCTACAAAGGATACAGAAGGATCACCATCAAAATTTAAGATGCCCACATTCAAATTACCAAAATTTGGAATTGGTACTCCAAGTGCCACAGCAGAAGTGCACAAAGATGTCAAAATTGACGGAGCTGATATTAAAATTCCTGAAGAGGTTCTTGCAGTTGACATTACAGCGCCCAGCATTGGCACTGAAGGCCCATCAATAGAGATGAAAACTACAGGAACTCCACAAGAAGGAAAAGGAAGCAAGTTTAAAATGCCAAGTCTCGGTTTTTCTGTGCCTCAAGTTAAAGGGCCTGATTTTGATTTAAGCGTATCAAAGAAAGATGTTGATGTGACACTACCAGAGGCCAAAGCAAAAGGAAAACTCCCAGACGTTAAACTGAAAGAACCTTCTGCTCATGTGGAAATTAAAGCTCCTGATATGAAGGTTGCAACAGAGGACACAGAAGGATCACCATCAAAATTTAAGATGCCGACATTCAAATTACCAAAATTTGGAGTTAGTACTCCAAGTGCCACCATGGAGGTGCCCAATGAAGACAAAGACGTCAAAATCGATGGAGCTGATATTAAAATTCCTGAAGAGGTTCTTGCAGTTGACATTACAGCACCCAGCATTGACACTGAAGGCCCATCAATACATATGAAAACTTCGGGAACTGAACATGAAGGAAAAGGAAGCAAGTTCAAAATGCCAAAGTTTGGAATGACAATGCCAAAGGTAACAGGTCCTGAAATTGATTTGAGTTTATCAAAGAAAGATGTAGATCTGACACTACCGAAAGCCAAAGCTGAAGTCAAACTACCTGACGTTGAAATGAAAGAACATTCTGCTGAGGTGGAAATTAAAGCTCCGGAGATTAAGGTTGCTACAAAGGATACAGAAGGATCACCATCAAAATTTAAGATGCCCACATTCAAATTACCAAAATTTGGAATTGGTACTCCAAGTGCCACAGCAGGAGCTGATATTAAAATTCCTGAAGAGGTTCTTGCAGTTGACATTACAGCGCCCAGCATTGGCACTGAAGGCCCATCAATAGAGATGAAAACTACAGGAACTCCACAAGAAGGAAAAGGAAGCAAGTTTAAAATGCCAAGTCTCGGTTTTTCTGTGCCTCAAGTTAAAGGGCCTGATTTTGATTTAAGCGTATCAAAGAAAGATGTTGATGTGACACTACCAGAAGCCAAAGCAAAAGGAAAACTCCCTGACATTAAACTGAAAGAACCTTCTGCTCATGTGGAAATTAAAGCTCCTGAGATTGAAGCTCAAACAGATAATTTTGAAGGATCACCGTCAAAAATTAAAATGCCAAAATTCACATTACCCAAATTAGGAGCTACTACACCAAAGGTTAGTGTGGAAGTACCGGATGTGGACAAAGACATTAATATTGATGGAGCAAAGCTGGAAGTACCTAAAGAGGGAGCTACAGTTGATGTCACGGCACCCAGCATTGATACTAAAGGTCTATCTGTAGATGTGAAAGTTAAAGGAAGTGAACTTGAAGGATCAGGAAGCAAATTTAAAATGCCAAAGTTTGGCATCTCAATGCCAAAAGTAAAAGGTCCTGAAATCGATTTGAGCTTATCACAGAAAGATGTAGATGTCACACTCCCAGAAGCCAAAGCTGAAGTTCAACTTCCAGATGTTGAAGTCAAAGAACCTGAAGGTGCCATTTCAGTACCAGATGCACCTACAGTTGACGCTGAAGCTAAGATGAAACGACCAAACTGGACATTTCCTAAATTTTCATTTTCAAGGACAGGTGGTAAAGCCCCTGAAGTTGATGTCAACCTTGAAACTCCAACAGTTGATGTTACATCACCAGAGGCCAAAGCAGAAGTCTGTCTACCAGACGTTGAAGTTCAAGGACCTTCAGGGGCTATTTCAGTGGAAGAGCCACCTGCTGCAGAACTTGATGCAAACTTGAAAAAAACTAGATTCTCCCTACCCAGAATTTCTTTCTCAAAGTCAAGTGTTAAAGAACCTGAAGTCAGTGCTAAGCTCCCACATGTTGATGTTTCTCTTCCAGAAGTAAATGTGGAAGTCAAAAGACCCGAAGTGGAGCTCAAGCCACTAGAAGGTGATGCAGAATTAGAAGGATCAGGAAGCAAATTTAAAATGCCAAAGTTTGGCATCTCAATGCCAAAAGTAAAAGGACCTGAAATCGATTTGAGCTTATCACAGAAAGATGTAGATGTCACACTCCCAGAAGCCAAAGCTGAAGTTCAAATTCCAGATGTTAAATTGAAACAAGCGTCTGCTAAAGTAGAAATTAAAGCTCCTGAGATTGAAGCTCAAACAGATAATGTTGAAGGATCCCCATCAAAATTCAAAATGCCAACATTCAAATTACCAAAATTTGGAGGTAGTACTCCAAAGGTCACTGTGGAAGTACCTGATGTGGACAAAGACATTAAAATTGATGAAGCAAAGCTGGAAGTATGTAAAGAAGGAGCTACAGTGGATGTTACAGCACCCAGCATTGACACTGAAGGCCTATCCGTAGATGTGAAAGTTAAAGGAAGTGGACTTGAAGGATCAGGAAGCAAATTTAAAATGCCAAAGTTTGGCATTTCAATGCCAAAAGTAAAAGGACCTGAAATCGATTTGAGCTTATCACAGAAAGATGTAGATGTCACACTCCCAGAAGCCAAAGCTGAAGTTCAACTTCCAGATGTTAAATTGAAACAAGCGTCTGCTAAAGTAGAAATTAAAGCTCCTGAGATTGAAGCTCAAACAGATAATGTTGAAGGATCACCGTCAAAACTTAAAATGCCAACATTCACATTACCCAAATTAGGAGCCGCTACTCCAAAGGTCAGTGTGGAAGTACCTGATGTGGACAAAGACACTGGAATTGATGTAGCAAAGCTGGGCATAACTAAAGAAGGAGCTACAGTGGATGTCACAGCACCCAGCATTGACAATGAAGGCCTATCTGTAGATGTAAAAGCTACAGCGATAAAACTTGAAGGATCAGGAAGCAAATTTAAAATGCCAAAGTTTGGCATCTCAATGCCAAAAGTAAAAGGTCCTGAAATCAATTTGAGCTTATCACAGAAAGATGTAGATGTCACACTCCCAGAAGCCAAAGCTGAAGTTCAACTTCCAGATGTTGAAGTCAAAGAACCTGAAGGTGCCATTTCAGTACCAGATGCACCTACAGTTGACGCTGAAGCTAAGATGAAACGACCAAACTGGACATTTCCTAAATTTTCATTTTCAAGGACAGGTGGTAAAGCCCCTGAAGTTGATGTCAACCTTGAAACTCCAACAGTTGATGTTACATCACCAGAGGCCAAAGCAGAAGTCTGTCTACCAGATGTTGAAGTCCAAGGACCTTCAGTGGCTATTTCAATGGAAGAGCCACCTGCTGCAGAACTTGATGCAAACTTGAAAAAAACTAGATTCTCCCTGCCCAGAATTTCTTTCTCAAAGTCAAGTGTTAAAGAACCTGAAGTCGGTGCTAAGCTCCCACATGTTGATGTTTCTCTTCCAGAGGGAGAAGTGAAAGTCAAACAACCTGAAATGGCAATTGAAGCACCTCAGCTTGAAGCTGATGGACATGATGGACAAGGAAGCAAGTTCAAATTGTCAAAGTTCGGAATTGCAAAAGCAAAAGCAAAAGGACGGGAAGAAGATTTAAATGCATCAGAGAAAGATGTAGACTTCACACTGCCAAAACTTAAAGCAGATGTAAAACTCCCTGAAACTGAATCTTCAGCTAGTGTTGAAATTAAAGCTACTAAGACTGAATCTAAGTCAAAAGATGTTGGAGGATCGCCATTAAAATCTAAAATGCCAATAGTGAAAATGCCGAAATTTGGCGGTGCTACCTATGATGTCACCGTAGAAGCACCTGATGCAGACAAAGTAGTTGAAACTAATAAAGCTAAAGATAAGGAGGATGTTACTGTTAACATCAAAGGTCTAGATGTTGATATTAAAACAGACGTGTGCAAAGCAGCAATAACAGATTCTGAAACAAAGCCTGAGACTGACAGTGTGGGTCTCGGCTCTCCAAGTAAATTCAAACTACCATCATTTAAAATGCCAAAGCTGAGTTTCTCAAGACCCAAACCTGAAGACGAACATGTCCCTGTTGAAACTGAATGCAAAGCAGATCAGCTGGAAATGGAAGTTGAGCCGAAAGGAGAGATTAAATCACCAATAATGACTTTGACATCATTTGGTGAGATCCTCAAGAATGTTGATGTTGAATTTGATGTTCCAAAAGTGGATGAAAAAGATCTTGAAACAGATGAACCCAGTGGAAAGCAGCTAGAGAAAAAAGAAAAGGAGACAAATAGCAAGCAAGATACTGTCAAAAGTCCTGAGAGGACAGGTTGGTTTAAATTCCCCAAGTTTGGACTGTCCTCCCCATCAGAACCTGCCAAGATTTCTGAAAAAGAAGAGCACAAGGATAAAAAGAGCTCAGCAGGGGAAACAGTGGATGAGGAAATTAGCCCTACCTGTTCTGTCCAGTCATCGGATGCCTTTGCTGATATTAGCTCTGCAATGACAAGTGAGCATGTCGGCCTGTCCTTATCGTCTCCAACAAAGGTAACTGTCAAATACTCTGATCCTAACACTGCTACAGGATTTGGAGAGATGCACAGTAACATCATTACTTCCACCACAAGGACGGAGCTGATTTCGGTTGAGCCCAACTTGCCTGAGAAAATCACCATTCCGTCATCAGGAGTTTCATCTTCATCTGAAGACACGCTCAGACTGGAATCTGGAAAAATACACGTCATTACTTCCAATATCCAAGCAACCCCAGAAGCACAGCATGCCAAGTTACTGACTGCTGTCCAGGTCCAACCAGCTGGAGGCCTTCCCCTAAAATCAGAGGCTCATGAAACTACATCGTGGACTGTCGAAGATTCACAAAGCGGCACAAGAACAGTCTATGAGAGGCATTTAGTTAGGGAAACGTCAAGTGAAACAAGTGAAAGCAAAGGAAGAATTGTTATAACTAAACAAATTACACATATGTTTGACTCTTCTGTCCCAGGTGAGACAGCTTCATCCATTCAACGACTGAAAGACTCTGTGCACTCTGAGAAAATGAGGTTCTTTGATGGAGCTGAAAAGTGAAAAAAAATTATTGTAAATGATGTCTAAAGATACGATCCCTCATTGTCCAGCCTCAGTGGGCCGTGGATTCTGAATTTCACTGCCCATAAGTCGCATAAGTCCCTAAGTGACAGAAGGGTGAGACAGAAAACAGGTTGGCAACTGGAAAAGATTGTTAGCAAGTTAACTTACCAATAGGATAAATTTTGTCAGTTTTCAGGTCTCTGGTTGCATGGGGTTGGTCTATAAAAAGATGATTTAATGTTATTCAAACTATGTGATCAAGTTGTTAATAAGCTTTGTAACTGAGTGCCCTTAATGCAAATTATAAAAGAGCTTTCCTAAATATAAGTAAGCCATGTCTTATGCTTATCAAAACTTATATATTTGTTGTTTCATAGTTTTTAATGTACAACACTGATACTTACTTGTAATCTTATTTGTCGGATGATAATCACTAGTGCACTTGATTTCAAAACAGCTGTTCTGAACAAGACTGTTGCAAAAATCGATCAATGTTACTGACAGTCCAAACTATGTTTACAACCATTTCACTGTAAAAAGTTGACAGCAGAAAACACCTACAGCACAATAGTGCAGTATATGACTGAAAAATCAATATGTACGTTTATCACCAAGATATTCTTGTTGCTGTAGCTGAAATTGTCAAGAAACAATAGCAATGCAAAGCTGAAATGAAATGCTTATGATCAAACACAGCAAATGCACTGCTGCGAGTATATTTTCTATTAATATTTTGCTTAAAAAACCTAATTTGCTACAGTAAAAATATATCAACAGTATGTATCAGTGTACAAAGTGGGAATATTAAACGGGCTGTGTAAATAGCTTTTAATGATCTCTGGAGTTGTGTTCGATTAGGCCTACTGCTCCTCTTTGAATTCTGACAGGCTTTAACTCAACGTGTTTGTAAAGATATACACAATAAATAAATATTATTGCAAACCTGTGGCTGAAGCTGATGATGTTCAACCAATACCAAGAAACCAAAACCAAGAAAAAAAGCTCTAATTAAAATGTTTTTTTTTTGTTTGTATTCTTTGCAGAATACCAAGTACAGGTCTTGTACTTTACTTGGGCATTCCCATTTTATATTACTTTATAATTTTACTCCACTAACGATACAATTTAGAGGCAAAGCTTTTCACTCAACTAATTTGACAGCTTTACAGATTCAAAATCTTCTCAAAGGTGCCATCCTGCGTGATAACTTTTACTGTTGACACTTTAACTTATATAGTCAAAAGTATAAAAGTAAAAGTATATTTTAATGCTAATACTTTTGTACTTTTACTTAATGCAAATACATTGTGGCTGATTAACGTTATTTCTTCCACCACTGCTCATGACTACTACTAACATTGTCACAGTGTATTTGCACACTAGAGGGAGACATAGTTCACAAGTATATTTTTACTATCACTGTGTTCTTCGGGTAAAATGTTAGAAAAAGCATATTATCTGTGTAACTCATAATGAAATCTCTCTGTGCTAACTTAATTACAAATGTTTCCTTGCTAACGTTGTAACGTTAGGCTTTGTTGCTGTTTGATAGTTAACTTTAAATGTTATAACATTAAAATAGGCATAAAAAGATCTTTGTGTGTCTCTAAGTTCAAGTTATTGCGTTAACATACGGCGGAAAAAAAAGACAAGTTAGTTTACCTGACAAATTGCTGACAAAATAAACGCGTTTAAATTAATCAACAGCTGCTCGGTTTACCGCTGATAAGCTGCTTCCTTCAGGTGCTCCTCGTAAAATCCGCCCTCAAGGTTGACTGATTCAAGAGCCATAGGGGCATTTTGATAACAACAATTTTTCTTTTTCTGCTGGTGGTTTGTGTTTCATCTGGGAACGAGATGGATGAATGGAATATACTCACCAGGTATAAATCCGGAAATTTAATCACTCTAGTTATCATAATCTTGTAACACCAAAATGCATCACAAGGAATAGGCCTAGTTGTAGGTCACTTGTTAGACCTGAACATAGCTTTACTTCCAGACACAGTTTGTAATCTAAATCTAAACCAGTGGCTCCCAAAGTGAGGTTCAGGGACCCCCAGGGGTCCTTGGGGATATTCCAGGGGATCCACATCAAAAAGGGGAATCATTTATTACACATTATTATTTTCACTATAATTCCATCCATAAATGACACAGTGACTGTACGACTAGAATTTATGACAATGTTGGCCATGGGTTTCATACACTTTTTGTAATAAAACTGCTAAAAGCCTATCAGATGGGCAACCCTGTGACCAAATCTTTTCAAGTGTGTGTCCGTGGTCTAATTTGTGTCCATTTGGGAATCCTTGACATGAAAAAGCTTGAGAACCACTCATCTAATCTACAGGTTTGTTCCACCACCTAAATTCAAAAGACAAGATTTGAAGATGGTAACTCTCCAAAGACTTCTGAAAATAACTTTAAATAAAAATAATTAAATAGGCCTTAGCATTTCACCACTTTAAGAAAGGAGGGGATTGTTTGTGTTGGTGGGGAGGTTGTTAGATAAATATATATAGCCTATATTAGACCTGTATATAATTTGTGTTTAACTAGCCTACTCAATAAATTAAGAAGTCAACTAATAAATAACCTAATTAATTCCCTGAACTGTTGTAAACTGGTAAAAAAAAAGGCCAGTGTGAAATAGCAATTTGCATAACAGCTATGCAACTATATGACAATAATAATTGATTTTTACAATAACGGAAGAATAGTGGGCAAAAATCACACTGGGTGGAAATTGCATATGGTGATGGTGTCTCTGAGCAAGACACTTAACCCCTAGTAGCTCCAGAGGCGTGTGACCAATTGTAAGTCACTTTAGATAAAAGTGTCAGTTAAATTATTAATTATAATTATGCACCTGCTCAATTTCTCAATTATAATACCTTCTGAATCTGACAGTGGTAGGCTAAATGTAATTAAACAGCCTTCTGGGTTTTTCAAACATGATCATCGGTTATTAGTCAGTTTTGCGGGGAAAAAATCATGATTAGCTTTGTGACTATAATCTAATTACAATCAACACATTAGAGGCACAAACGTGGGATAACTATTCAAATATGATTGTATGCTCAAGCTTTAAAATAATCCTTAAAGGAATCCACCAAAATGACACAGAAGTACATAATTTTAGTCATTTAGTCTACCTACAACATCTCGTACACTCCCTCTCCTAATGTAACATTTCCGACAGCACTTGAAGGCAACACCGGTCTCGCTCCACTGCGCAGTCTCTGTACACTTTGAAGCGAGCTGCAACTTCACCGGGAGCCTCGCGCACCCCGCCGCCTGTCGCCTACAACAGCATCATCATCATCATCATCATCATCATCACCACCACCATCATCATCAGCATCAGCAGCATCAGTGTGATGAAGCAGCGGAGGACGGAGACCTTCCTGCTCTGAGACACTGGATCAGCTCGCAGACAGGTACGGAGCTTTTCTCCGCCTTTTACCCACTCTGGAAACAATCTGACAAAACATTTCTTCATTTCAAACACTGATCTACAATCTGCTTTTATCCGTTTTTATAAAAAGTAAGTGAAAGAATGAGCCGTTGAATTATTTGAACTGTACCTTTGAGGTTTTGGAGAATTCATAAAACCTGCTTTACCTTGTGGTCTTTCTGCACCGGGGATGCTCAGTGTGTGGGATTGTGGGCAGAAAGCACAGCCTGTGAGTATAAGTGTAGGCGTAGCAGAAGCTATGTTTTATACACAGGTACTTAAATCTATTGATAGTATGGATCTGCCACCTGCATTAAACTGACTACCTGTTGTGTCCCATACAGGTAAACCAGTGCTCCATAGGTGCACATGTATTACTTATACATATGTTGTCATTTGTATCAAACGCATAAAACAAAGTTTCTGCGCAATTAAAAACATCAACTAAGTGCATTTGAGTCAAAAAAAAAATAGAACAGGAAATGTGAACTAGGGCAACAAACACACGGTAAATCTAATTTAACTGCAACAAAAACAGAGCAGTGGAACATTTCAGAAGGCTGTGTGGTAAGTAAAGAAGAATGTCTCTATATTTGGCCATGGACTGAATTTTTTTTGTCATGTCCTTGGGCGGTAAAAAACTTACTGGATTTATCTGAACAACCTGCATTTGAGGAGGTGGTGATGCTACTGCTTGCTCCTATTTAGTAGCAGGAATGGAAAAATATCTGTGCAGCTGGGGCAATAAGAGGAGCGAGAGAATCATTCTAGCAACATCCCATCAATATCCTATATCTGCAAAAATGAAATAGTGAAATTAAACTGATTGATGAACTGTCCTGGAGGATGCCAATTCTGGGAACCGCTACCCCTTTAACTGGACAGTCTCCACCACCGTGAGTGTCGTGATGGACAGAAGAGAGGAGGAATTTTAATCCGTGAGGTCACACCACATGGACATCTTACATTCGACAAGCAAACAGTGAGGATGGAAGATGATAGTGGCTGCAGGCAGATTTATTGTCTGCAGATTTGGCCGTGTTTCAACTGGAAACTGGACTTGTTTTTAAAAACACTAGTAGGTGCAAGAATCTGGCTTCAAACTGAAGTCTGCAAGCCAACATCAGCTGAGTGATGCTGCAGCACATCAGGGTGCTCCTGTGGGTTTTGGCTTGTATATTTGATTTTCAGGACAGCAACTAACAATTATTTCCATTATCATAATTTTCATTATCAGCTAAACTAAATTTATTAGTCCATAAAATCGGAAAAAAATGAAAAGGGCTTGTTAATACTTCCTTGTTTAATTCGACCAACCAAACCCCAAATATATTCAGATTATTATCAATAAGACAAAGAAAGGAAGCAAATCTTCACAACTGAGAAACTGGAACTTGGTAATCTTTGCTTGATAAATGAACAATGAATCCATTATAAAACTATTTGCGGATTCATTTTGTGTTGTTTAACTATTTTAATAATCAACCAATCATTTCAGCTCTAGTTGACTTAGACTTTTTAATGCAAATTCTTTTTTATATCATAAATGTAATAAATTTCTTTTTTTTGGCTGTGAATAACAAAAAACAGCAATTTTAAGACACTATGTTGGATTCTACCAGTGGTGGACTGTAACTTTATTTACTTTACTTACTTTATTATACACATATAGCTAATAGTACCATCGCATCCACCAGCTACAACATGAAAATGCTTCTCATTCTGTGATAATGATCCAATAATGAGATATATAATAATGTAATACTCTTACTTTTTGTACTTGACTATGTATTTTTACTTATTGCTACACGTAGCCCCGTACCCTACGCTGTAGCCTACACCGTAGCCTGACGTTCACCTCCTCAAAAATCTGACTCACATCGGGGCGACGCAGACCGTAAGCACTGTGATTGGTCAGCTAGGTAGCCTCACAATGCCGCTGAGCCGACAGGAAGTGCTCCGTGTATTCAAGTGAATTTTACTTGCGGCCAATCTAGCGGCTGTAACACGGTGGATCAATATATTTGAGCATCACAACCCAAGTGAAATGACTCGCTTCTCTATCAGAATGTGATCCATTCGGTCAATAACATTTGAAAAGTCTATAACAGCCGCACTTATATAATTTTACCCCCATTCAAATAAGCAGAGGCCTAAACTGGAAGTTAGCCTGCTCGGCCGGCAAAAGTCAACACAGTGGACGCTGAAGCGCTACTGCCCAATAGTGTTTGGTGGTGTAATAGCAAAACGACGAAGACACCGACGCACAAGTATAAATGCATGGCTAATTCTACAGCGTAGCTACACATGTAGACCCGATGCAGAAGTATAAATCACACTTTACTTGTGATTGATATCTGCCATCAATTTTGACATTTTCTTTAAAGCATTAAACAATAATGAAACACTTGTTAGTTGTAGCTCCAACAAATGCTTAAAAGGTCCTCTGTGGAGGTTTTGACCGCTAGTGGTGCCGTGAAGAAATGTTTTTACGAGCTGGTTCCCCATTTTGATTGTGGTCACAGCTGTTCGTTTCATGCTATTTGTAATGTGCAAAGAAATGAAAACATTGTGCCAACAAAGGCAATGAAAAAGAAGACTGCTGGTAAGCCAACATGGACATAAATAATGCACGATTTAAAACTAATACCGCAGGTTAACATCTACAGGGCACCTTAAATATTTGTAGTTCACAAATCTTTTGAAGCTTTAGTCGTTTAATTAATTTCAGTTGTCATGTTGTAAGTTGTCAAAGTATTGATTCACTTCCTTAATCAAGCAGCATCTAAAACGACCATGAAATCCTCGCTTACGTGGCATTTACTTTTAAAAAGACAATCCAAACTAAAAACTCAAGATCTTAAATAGATATATGACGTGTTTTCAAATGCAAGATGCTATAATTTGAACCACCAGTTTAAACACTTGCTGCTTCATCTTCAAGCAGCTAAATGTGTAAAGAGACTTAACATTTCATTTCTCTGTTGAGGCAGAAGTGAAGTGGCTTCCCGCAGAGTAAACAGGCAGAGATTATGGATAACCTTGTTCAGACCTAATGGTTCAAATAAGGCGTTATTATTCAGCTGGAGGAAAAGGAAAAAAAAGTCATGACAGAAGCGTCACGCCTGGCATCAACATTTAAATTCTTGTGTCTGCTACGCTTCACATCACCCCACAGTGAAGGCACTTCTCAGAAACAAGATCAGACTGGAATACTGTGTAGAGCTTGACAGGCCTCTTCAGCTTGCTACCTTCAGAGCTGCAGAGCCTTTTCCTCTTTAAAAAAAAAAAAAACAGGACATGAGAGCGGCTGGAGTGACCGCACAGATTCTCTCCGGAGGAACAATACGAGCCTCTGATGGGGAATAAAGGCCGTATTGTCTCAGTGCTGCGATGGTTAAGGGCAGAAGCGATTCTAGGTTTCATAACAACGTGGCCCCGTCCTGACGGCGGTAATTACTGTTTAACAGCACACATACCCCCCCCCCCCTCCCCCAAATCAGCTCTCGGGCCTCGTGCGCTCAGGCAAAGTGCACTACTCAGACAATCAGAGGCATACAATCTCAATCGCTCGTCCCCATGGCAACAGCAACTGCCGGTGTGATTGTATGAAAAGTGGTGTTTCTGATAACTTGTCACAAAGTCTGCCTTTTACTAGAGAGCAGAAGACTGATATTGTCGGCTGGTTTTTAATGTTTTATAACAAAATTGGTATCAGTCCAACATTATTCTGCTTTCTACTATTATTTAAGTAAGTGATAATGCAAAACCACGTGTCCCAGTATAAGAAAATAATGCATGAGGCGTGATGTTGCATTGAAGAGTGGTATCACTTCCTTTTTTGGTTCACTATCATCGCCCTCATAGCATTTAGAGCTACAAGAGAGAGAATACTGGACTTACATTCATTAGGTGACACAAGGACGACTCCAAATGAGTGGAAGTGTTGCTCTATGATTTTTCCAACTTAAAAACTAAGCATTCAACTTATGTCTTGTGCTTTTCACAGCTTGTTTCCCCTGCCAACCAAGTGGTAAAAAGAAATATCAGATATTGCAGGTTTAAGTTTCTATGTTTTGCTTAACATTAGAGAAACTGAGTGCATGCTGGTGCCTGGTTGATGGGGTTGACAGCAGTGAGGGCAGGATATAAAACCGCAATACTTTTTTAGTACCAAACAAAATGTGTCTCTAGCATCAAGTGAAGATCAGACTGTGGCTGTACTGTGCAGCTTCAGGGTGGGAATGTGATCAGGGTGCTTGCAAAAGAGATGTTTTCTCTCATGTGGAATTACTCTGAATAAATTAAGGTTTAAAAAAAGGATGAAAAGTTGGTATCGGCTGGTATCGGCACATTTGACACTGATTAGCTATTATTGTCAGGAAAAATAAGTGAGTGAGGAGTGGTACGTGGAGTTTTGGACCACTAGTAGCACTATAGAGCAGCTCTTTGTGATTCTACCAAGGACGTCACTTTGTGTTGAAAAGTGGTGGGAACATAGGGGCTCAGCTTAGGGGCGTGTGAGATATCACGATATGCGATATCAAGTTCACGAGATTGAGATGGAAAGATTTTTTAACAGTGTTTTAATGAGATCCTCAATGCTGAGATATTTGAGTGGGGAGTCTGGGGGGACTTCCCCCAGGAATTTTGATAATTAAACACTTAATTTCCTGCATTCTGGTGAAAGTTTCTACACCACCACATTACTGGTGGAATCCTTGCTTTCAGATCTGTTTCTCCTGTAGATCAACTTTTCTCATGAAATATCATCCCCGCTGAGGCAACACATATGCAGGCATGATTTAGTCTTCCCTCCTCTTTTGTCATGTTCACAGGGAGAGAACGGAAAACTTGGCTTTATTTGGACAATTCACATTTGTTTTTTCTATATTTTAATTGCATTGCATGCTTTCTTAGTGTGCAAATAAACCTTTCAAATGGCATTTTCATTTGTTTTTTAAGTACAAGCTATATTTCAGAACGATTTTTAACAAATAATGATTTTAAAAAGTGATGGGGACCAAATCAGCCATTTCAAAAAGGGGTGGGGACATGTCCCCAGCGTCCCCAGTGTAAATGACACTTTTAATAATTAGTGGAAAAATAATTTGCAGGTGACGGTAACTGGTTAAGACACTTGGCAAAAGATTGCTAGCTTGGTAACATGTATTTTAACAATGCAGGTTTCCATTTGTTTATAAGAAAACTCCACAGGACACCATTAAGAAAATCACCGGTGCTGAGTGTTAGACATTTTTCATTAATGGTGCCAAAAAGGTGTACTAATCCATAATCTTTCAGTAATATAAAATAATAATCAGATCAGGCGAGAGAGCCTTGAACATTCAGTTCAATTGCAACAGTCACATCTGCCAATTGAAAAGCCAAAGGGAATTGTGTAGAGAAACACAGTGCATACAGTTTATTGATTGGTGATCATCACCATGTTTTTTCCTCCAGGATGACTGAGGTGATGAACTCCCTGGAACCAGGAACGGAGGACTTCAGCGGGGGTGGAGCAGCTGCAGATCAGGGCACGGTATCCTTCCAGGTGTGTCTGGAAATATTTGTGTGAATGTGTGTGTTTCGATTATTTCAAACCAGTCCTGTTTTAGAAAGTAGAAAGAATACAGTGGTGAGTCACAGGAGTGATGAGTAAGAGTGAAAAAGTGGGCTGATGCGAGTAAGGTCATAATTTGGAGTCTGTCCTGCTGTGAGTAAATGGTATGTGTCTTATCCAGCCGAGTGAGTTATCATCAACTGCTGTACAATTGTACTATTAATTTTCCTAACGTAACGCATCATCATTAAGTGAATTGTGAAGAGTGATCACTCTTGCTTTATTTTATAGTGCCAGTGAAATGTTTTTTCTCTCTCTATGATGCTGATGTTTTTCAACTTTTTCAGCCTGATATTCTGAATTCTTTGGTGAAAAAGGTTCAATAAAACTAAACAAAATGGACTGAACAAAGGATGTTCGCAGTGCATTTCCCAAGAAGTACTGATTACATGGTGTGCAGGTCAGGACATCAAGGCATCTAGGATAAAACTCTGCTTAATTTAGTTGAAGTTTTGTTTTGGACTTTTAGATTTAAGTCAAATAATAACCATTGAAGTCAAAAGAAGTTTCACATTCAAATATAGTGACTTAAATACAGTTAAAACAATTGTTATATGAAACCTAGACGGGCTCTAGACATCTAGATGTCTTTTGTCCTGCAAATAACCACGGACGTTTTTTGTAAATCAAGTGACTTTTTTATCACAAGTGAGTCAAAATTCAAAAAGCTTGCCCACAAACACACTGTTGATAATTTCTAATCTGTCCCAATATTAATACTTATATACAACAAGAAAAGCTTCAAGACAGTATTTACACAGCATCAATCCAATCAGATGTTAGTGTACCATGTATGTCAATCAAATCATATTAAATAAGGTTTGAAACAAAACCAGTAAACATTTTTTCTTTTGGAATAATGGAAGCAATGAAGTTTGTTCCTATACCAGCATTTTATAGGGCCTCCACAGACTAGTATCACTTAGACTATATTCTTCTTGAACCCATTTAATATTTTTACGATTAATAGTCCTGATTGAATATATTAATATTATAAAACTAACAGCTTTTTCTTGCATGCTACATTTTATGCCAATGTTGGATCCAATGAAGGTTGAGTAGTCTTAATCATGACGGTGGGCTTGACATATCACCTTTGGAGCCCTGCTATTTTGGGTAGACATAATTGTAGTCTTTTATATCCAAGAGTGAAGAATCACACTTCATTGAAAGATTCTATAGTAAGTCACAGTTTTATCCATCCTGGTCCAGATCAACAATGTGTCAAGATAATTTTAGATACAGTTCAATTAAAAAATAAAAATGACAGCATCACAAGCATATGCACATTTGAAGTTAGAGATCAAAGTAACAGATCAGTCCAGTCCAGCTGCTAATCCTTTTTCTGATACACAGTTTTCCTAATCTGATTTTAACCGCATTGTTGTTCTTTCACGTGTGTTGTGACAAATGATGTTCGTATCCCCCCGAATTTAATAAGCCTTCCTTACATGAGCTTTAAACAGATGTTCCCAGATACCCATGAAAGGATTCCAAAGTTGTCCAAGAGGCTTCCTTCCATCGTGGTCGAGCCGACGGACGGAGCCGAGGTGGAGAGCGGCGAGCTCCGTTGGCCACCTGACGAGCCGAGCTCTCCAGACGCTCAGATTGAGAGACAGAGTGTAGAGGAACAAAGTGCAGGTGAGGAGGAGTGTGAGGTAACTGAACATTTGTTATCTTTGGTCCATAGCCACAGTGGAAAGTTTGACCTTGTTTCCTTGTTGTATTTCGCTCATTTAGATTTCAATTGGCCAGTCAAAACCAGAAGAAGTACCCAGATTCTTTCCTTAAGTAAAAATAACAATACAGCAATGTAAAAATACTCCTTTACATTTACATTTCAAAATACAGAAGTACTATCATCTAAGAGTACCTAAAGTACCAAAAGTAAAAGCACTCATTCTGCAGTTAAAATGTCCGCTGTGGCCAATATTATTTTATCTGACATTATTAGATTATTAATACTGATGCATCAATGTTAGTGCAGCATTTTACTGTTGTAGCTGCTGAAGGTGGAGCTTTTTTTAACTACTTTATACAGTTAACTAGTTTTAGGTCATTTATTTACAGTTAGCTAGTCTAACTACTTTATATACAGTCAATTTTAGCTACTTTATATACAGTTAGCTAGTTTAACTACTTTATATACAGTAAGGTTAGTTTTAACTAATTTATATACAGTTAGCTAGTTTTAGCTAATTTATTTACAGTACAGTATTAACAACTTACATTACTATAGCTTCCAACCTATCAGCCTAGAAGATTTTATGGACTTGATTAGGAAGATACAGTTTCGTACCATACAATCTTCCCTATTTTTAGAGTTTTGAAGTTTAGAGTTCCTTGCTATTTAGTGATCGTCAATTGTTCCTTTTACAGGATCTGTCTCATCCTCTTTTAAGCATGCTACCATCAAGCCCATAGTGAAGAAAACCAACCTAGCTAATCTCCCACTTTTGTCAGACTAGAGAAGGTTTTGTCCAACTGTCTCACTGCAGCGTTGGAGAGACACAAAGTCTATAATAAATTTCAGTCCGTGTTTCGGACACAGCACTCTTCTGAAACTGCTCGTCTGACGGTCTCTAAGGACGTTCTAATGTCCTATGATGCGGGTGAGGGCTTAGTGCTAGTACTTTTGATCTCAGCTACACTGATTGTTCCCATCCCATAGGGAAATAGGATGATTAACAGGAAGGTAAAGAAGATGATGGTTTTCATTTTTTTGGGTGCTTTTCTCTAATATTTGAATCTTTTTGTGAAATATTGAATATTTTTACATCTTAGTTCCTAGTTATTTAAATGAAAGTTACTGAGAAATTTAGGTGAAATCACTCTTTGGTGGATCTGTTAACAAGTCATAGGCATCTGAAATGTGACAAGAGGCCTTAACCATGAAGGGATCACAAGCCAGAGGTTTGAGAAAGACTGGTTTGATGTTTAATAATTAAATTTTTTCAATTTTAAAGTATTTTGTTTTATAAATGTATGTTTATATATACAGATGTTCATGTTAAATCATAATCTGTAAAGTAACTATAGCTGTCAAGTAAATGTAGTGGAGTAAAAAGTACAATCTTTCTCTCTGAAATGTGGTGGAGTATAAAGGATCAAAAAATAGAAATGCTCAAGTAAAGTACAAGTACCTCCAAATTAAGTGCAGTACACCTTATCTGGTGTTCATACAAACAGCTGCCTTTTGAGTGTCTCTACAAACATGAGGAGCAGCTGGCCATCAGCTATGAACATCCGTCTCTTTATACCCACAAATGGTTATTTCATGTAATGACTTCCTGTAGTATTTTCTTTATGTATTTTCTTATCTTTATGTATTTTCTTTCCTTTAATAACACATACCATCCTGACCGTAGGATCTGAACAAAAGGAGAAAACACTCACGAGCAGAGATGTACAGTAGTGATATACGGTGGCATAATATCTTACATAGGAAAAAAAAAAAAAACTCAGTTGAGAAAAGAATTTCGAAAATGAGTCAGTCTAATCATTTGGCTCCCAAACAGGGCACTGCTGGAGTCATACAACTCAGGATAAATGCAATTTTCCTCTTAGGGTGAATCAATAGAGGGAACACATTTTTTCTCAATTCATGCTGCACAGTGTGCCTGCATCTGTCTGCCTCTGGATGGCCCTTTCTGTTGACTTTATTAGCATTCATGCTGCCTCTAAGTACCACTTGATATTGTGAAATGAACTGAACCGCAGTATTCACCATATTTGCTATAAAATAGGAGTTTGTGGCCATCAAAGCTGTTAGAGAATATTAGTCAATTGAGTTCAATTGATTTGCTGTTCATTTTAAAGTGGACATTTTATCTAGATAGTTTACATTTTACCTTGTATTTAGGATCTGGGACCTGATTAACCAAAGTTGCAACATGACATAATTTCCTCTCCTGTTGATTTTTACATCTTAAACTAATGAAATGCATACTTCCATCCATGACCATGCATGAATCCTGTAGGGCTCAGAAATGTATACTTACCACTTCAAAGAGACAATATTTTGTGAAATGCAATGTGCGTTTAAGCGGATTGCTTTTGTAAAACGGGCTCCTGGTTGTTAAACAAGATTATCGAGATGTATTTTATAAGAACATTGAAGCACGAAAACACTTTGTGTTGCATATTCAAAGTGTTTAAAGTGTACGTTCAGGGTTCACAGGAGAGTCTGACCCCTAAGTGGACCTTTTTTTAGGCAGATACAGATATATTAGGTCTGATATAATATTTTCCCCCCATGCTAGTGGTTCCAGGGATAGTAATGTCTGACTGCCGGCCAATCCACCACTTTGTATCCTCACTAAAATATCCCAACAACTATCAAATGGATTGCCATGAAATTCTGTACAGACATTCATGCTGCCCAGACAATGAATCAGAATGACTATTTTGATCCCTGACTTCCTCTAGCGCCACCATGAGGTTGACATTTGTGGTTTTGACAACCATTGAATGAGTTGGCATGAAATTTCACATAAATTTTCCCCTCAGAATCAATTATAATAACGTTGGTTATCCTCTGACTTTTCATCTAGCACCATCATCGGGCCAAACTTGTAATTTGTCCAATACTTTGGTTTACCTGCAAAACTAATGCCATTCCCATCAGCCTCAGCTGTACTTTGTTTACTGCTAATTTAGCATGCTAACATGCTAAATGATAGTGAACATGGTAAACATGTTCACCGTCTATACCTGTGAAACATGTGTGTGTTAGCATTGCCAGTTTGATGCTAGCATTTAATTCAAAGCACCTTTAGAGCAACCTCACAGAGCTGCTAGCATGGCTGAAGACTGTAGAGTCTTGTTTTTGTGTTGCTGAATGTACAGAGCACTGTAATACCTGCAGTGCTAGTTAGATCTGGAAAAGGGTTCAAACTCAGCTTTATATCCCATTCACTTCCTCGATCATGCTCAAAAACAAAGCCATGAAAGAAATCAAAGTAAGCTCCAATTTGAAAGATTGTGGCATAATCTAGCATCCGCATTTTTTTTTTTTTCCAGATGTGGAACAGTCGAATGTCGGCGTGGATGAAGAGGCTTCAGGGGAGGAGATGCAGGACTCCAACTGAACAGACTCTCCTCCTGTGTAATCCACTGTTACTGTGAGTGTGTCCAGACTTGGATGATTGAAGAAGAGTACATTGCATGGATAGAACGATTATGGAGACAGAGGAGGAAGGGTAGAAAAACAGATTACCAAACCCCAGCTAACGGGCTTGGAGCCAGAGTCGTGTTGCCACCTTCTTAAATAAATTTTCATTTACAAGGTGTTTTTTTTCTTCTACGCTGATGATGGAGCTTGTTCTGACACATGTAAGCTAACTGATTGAAGGGTTGCTGCCTTGAACCATTTCTTTTTTTCCAGTTTGTACTTGCCTTTTGGCTATTTTCTTTTCACGCTTTTTGAAGTTGTCTGCCGTTAAATGAACAAAATTCTTTAACTCTTGGGAGCAGACACGCTTTTAATGTCAGAATTTTAAGTACAGAGATAATACTTTAAGTGACTGAGGGTTTCCCCATCTAATATGACTGTTGTCACATTTCCAGCTTTGTGAGAGTTTGATATAAATACAGATTTTTAATTTGATAAATTACATTTTCTCTCTCTGGCTCCCAGCCCTCGCCATCCAGATGTCCATGATATCACATCAGATCTGGATAGATGTTGATGTTTCTAAATGCTGTCTTAAGTATTTAGCTCATGTGTGCCATATTGATACTACTGTTAATGGTAGCTATTGTATTGTGTGCACAGTTTTTACATTAACTCTAGATGTAAATTACATCACTGTTTGTTAAGTGCTGACTGCTGTAGTTTTGGTGATCTTGGTCTCACTATTCACTTTGTAATAATAGCTACGATGTTTTAAAGAACAGTATTTGATTAAGAAAGCATTCATCACTTTATTCGATGTTATTACAATACATTCTTTAATATATATATATAATATGTCTTCATACAGTAGGTGTTCAAGGGAATGTAATCGTGTTTTGTTTTACTTCACGGGAATTTAAAGGCAGTCCATTTTGTTACAGACTACTGAAGTAAAAAATAACCAGTATATTTTAGATGTGTGTCACTTGTCACAGACATGATATTTTTTAAAATACTGGAAGCCTAAATTATTGCACAATTAATAAACCTTTTCAAAAATTCTTAAAACGTTCTATAATTTATTGCCCCTGTGGTTTTTAATGGTCAAAGGGTAGGTCAGGTTTACTCTGATTGGTGGTGAATCTTTGTCTTCTATAAGTGAAAAAGTCTGTGGTGTTTAATGGAGTCTGTAGTGCCTCAAGTGCAGTGGAAGAAGTTCTCAGATATTTAAGTAAAAGTACAGATGTATTTGCATCAAAGTGTTTTTTATGTACCAAAAGTCAAAGTATTCCTATTCATTATGTGTACTGGCCCATTTTAGAATAATGTATATTATTGGATTATGCATATCGCATTGACTGCTGAAAGGATAGCAGGAAATCAAAGGATTTGGGTCCAAATGCAGACAATGGAGGTAGAGC